ATGTAGACCGACGGCACAAAGTATAGTACTAATATAATAACGCAGGATATAGTATGACATTGCCCAGAGAAGTAAATTTCTAATCCTATATAATCTATAGTTTCCCGAGCTAAAACATACGAAGTTTAGTATACTCTCATCTCGGCACTTCTTAAATACATTTCGTTTAATGTATTGACTTTACTGCCTGTTATTGATATTATTATTGTTGTTATTACAATTGTAATGTTATAATTCAATACGGCAGCAAAAGTAAAATAAAATTGAAACATCAAGTGCCAATTACTCAAGGTTGTAAGGGTCTGCTTAAGTGTAATTTTAGCTAAATTTAAATCCCTGAAAAACTTTAAGAGCCAATTTAGGGTTCCAATATCGCTAAAGACGAGTAGCTTTCAACCGAGCGATTTGATATGTACTGTTTTTTTATTGTGTATTTGATTGCTTGTTCAAATCAAAAAGTCGAATCTAAAATCAGCATTAATTAATATCTGCAATTGGAGAAGTGAAGATAGACACGTACAGCTAGAAGTATTCTTCATACAAGCCACTGGTCAAGATGCCAAAGAGCCTGTGCCAACTGATAATAATTATAATCTTCCTCCTCCTCGTTCCCTTCCGATTATTCAACAAGCGCTTGCCTACAATCCACCGTATGTAGCTAATTAATCTATGGCGAACCCGCCCTTAATGATGAATAATCTAGCACCATTTTAAATAAATCAAGTAACATTATATCAACCTAGTGCTGCTACATATACGAAGTAGTGCTACTGAAATACCTGAAAGATACTATTAAACGTAAATAATATTGCAAAGTAAGACAGTGTCTTACTTTCTTGTATTGCGGTCTGCTGAGTGAGAGTAATAGTTGCAAATTCTAGACTGTATTCAAAGATTACAGCAATATATATCGGTATTTTAACACAATTTTTATTCAATTTTGTGGCGAAAAGAGCTCAAGGACAAATAGTTATTTAATTTTTGTTAGATACTGTAATAAAATTTCGGTATTTGTTATTAATAATGTTTTATCTATAACATTAGACGTAGCTTTATGTAATGGGTAAGTGCATGGTGCTGCAACATTTACTGTATAACGGCAAATAATATTAGTGTAGCTGTTTTATAATTTGTCAACTTCCAATACCATTTAATAAAGTTTAGTCTCGATTATGAGATACTAATTAATCAACAAAATTTGATGATAGGTAAATCGTCAGTAATTATGGTCGTCAAGTGAATATATGTAAAGTATGACAAATCTGACAAGTAAATCACAGTTTTAAGTTATTAAAGGCAGTTTTAATTTTTTTACTTCAAATATGAAGTTGCAATAAAGCTAATTTCAGCGGCAGTGAACGTGTTAATCCATACTACATAAAAAGACTTTGTGTGTGACATCTATGTGTTTGTGTATATTTCAGAACATATATTAAAATTGAATTTATTTAAATTTATACTGATCACAATGCTCTAAATTACAAGTGATTGTACACTACTGTGGCAAAAAACTGTGCAACAAGATAAAGTAGTGTACGATCAATACATCAATCCCTTCAATCATGTAACAAGGAGCAATATCTACTGTATTAGGGACATTTTCCTATACTAGTATACTACTGTACATAAAGACTTACATGCCTCGTTTTTTACGTTAAACACTAATCTTAAAAAACTTCCTTTATTATACGGTATACTGCATGTATATACTCTTATACAATAATGTAGACATCCTAGTTAGTAATATTAAGGTTGAAACCTTGCAATGAATCAAAAGCTAATTTTATCTATCGCTACCTAATGAAGACAGCAGTATTTGCGAACATAGATATCTAAATTTTTGGACTTACAGTATTTATAATTTGATATCAATCATAAAACTTTAGTATAAGAATGTTACGAATTTGGCTTTTCGAACGGGTCTTAAAGACTATTATCACGACTACTCGTGTTCCCAACTGACTTACGCGACTTATCGTGGTTGGACTAACTCTCGACTACACAGATAAGTTGCCAACTGATAAGAAGTAAAATTTAAATCTTGAATAAAATGTACTTTACGGCACTGTTCGCTTTTATATTAAAATGACGATTTTTATAATTCAACACGCAATGCTACCCAATTTAGCATTTATACTAATGCTTTAATTTTCCATAATGTAATAGCATGTCTTTAGACAATTAAAACGTAATTTCTTTGTGCTTATATGATAATAGCTTGCAACAAAAGTATAGACTTTTGTTGGCGAAATAAGATTTCATATAAAAGAATTTATAAGAAAACAGTTATCATAGTTTCACTGCTGAGTGCTTTTGCTACAAAGCATCTATCGTTGATAAAATTAAATGCCAATTTTCATCCTCCTGCTGATTTTTAAATATTAGCTAACGCTAATATCGAATTGCATATATGCATATATTAGCATAGAGACGTACATTTCCTGAAATTAGTATTCGTCGCTCTTTATAAATATTGCTTCAATGAAGTTAAGAAAACTGTAGAGCATTTTCAGAAAACTCAATATACAGTAAATTTTGATTTTCTTATTTTAAAATAATTTTAAAACACCGTTTAGCTGCATGGAGAAATATCAGTAATATACAATAAATAGTTGAGACATAAATAGAGACAACAACTTACATTTATAGCTAGTGAAATATTAAACTTAAATGTTGCACATTTGTCAGTTGTTGGCGTACACTATTACGTATTGACTATTTTACTCCTTACGTTGGTAAATATATGTAATGCTGTATGTTATACTATGCACTAATACGGCACTATATCACAATACTGTTAACGCTAGCTACTATTCTATATTTTAATACTTATTTATGACTGTATTAAAGAGTATCTCAGACATAATTGTCTTCATCGAATAAAATTCTAAAGGCTTTATTACGAAGCTTAAGAATGGTAGAGCAATAATTAATTAATGCTAGAATCTGGTCTAAAGTATTCCGAGTTCAAAATGAAGTGAAATCTCTAATGTGAGCTCATCTTCGCAGTTCTCAAATACATTTCGTTGAAGCCATCTATTACCACATAATTAGCTGCAATCGAATTTGAGTCAACAAACAGAATTCTTTTCCTCAAATAGATCATCATTATCTTCTACAGTCTGAATCATTCAACTTAAAATGTTACTCCTCTTCTATTAATGTCCTGCAGTTTTCGGTGTCGGGCATCTTCACAATTACAGTATATTAAGTTACATAAATCTTATACTAGAATTCTTCAATTAGCTAATATTAGTAATCAACGATTTAAATTTTATATTAGTTAGCAATCATTTGATATTAGCAACACGATAATATATATTCTCTGTAACTTAACTATATCAAATATAGCTGTCATTATAATTACGTATGCAACGCATCACTAGAATTAAACTATGGATTCTTTCTCTGATTGCTGTTATAAAAAACTCTTCTAATTATTCGACTGTCCTTACTTACTGAACTGCACATATCACATACACTAGTTTGGATCTTCTTATATACAAGTAAAGTTGAACCCATGCTGTCGCGACTGCTAGACTAGCATCGCTAGATAATATTGTTCTTAAGGATTTATATCCTCAATTATGTATAGTATGTTAATGTAATCTTGTATCGCTGTACTGGGAAATGATAACTTGACGTTTTGCGGTTCAAATATGTTCATAAGTTAACTGAATTTTTACTGAAACAATGGTATCTCAAGAATGTCATCGCAATGTTAGATAAGACAAATTACGTATACTCATATAAATGTTAAGGCATATAAAAGGTGGAGGGGGAGTAAGCTAGGGCGGAAGGAGTAATTTATAACGTAAAAGGAGAATAGAAATCAATTTACTCTTCGTCAAAGAAAAGGACGAACTTTTTGTTGTAAGCTCAACTCAATTTCAGCTTCCCTCTATAGAAAAGAAGCTGAGTCATAAAACATACGTTTGCTATACTTTGCGTGCTGTATGTACTTATACTTTTTAGTTTATAATTACGTAAAGTATAAAACATTCAGCTACTCAATTTGAGTCTTCAGTTTCGCTTGCTATATTATTGCAAATCGCATAACAAAACCAGTACTCGAGCATAAGGTGATTATAGCCACTACAAACTTATTCAATTATATACGTTTATTAATGTTTTTACCGTAGATCTTAGAGTTTGTTAGTAAGTAGCTGTATAGTTATAGCCTAGCACCAAAATGGGTCAGGTATTCCCGACCGTAAGATTGGTTTCTCTCTGAAGTTGTCCCAGATACCGCTTTGCACTGGCCTAATTGATTGAATAATGTGATGGTAACTTAATATTAGTAAGGAATTGAAGCTATTGCCATGTTTTCTGAAACATTTCATAACAAAAATATTTACTGCTGTCAAAAATTAATTGTTTGTCAATTCATTCAAATACTTTTATTGATTTCCTATATTATTGACACAACTTGGTAGACCATTTCTTACTTACAAATATAAGCGTAGGCTGAATACTTTCTTCATAAATTAATTATTAATCCTAGATTTTTAGTATGGTATGACGTCAATTTATAGTGTGCTATGTTAAAGAGATAGCTTAAAATTTTACAATGGGATTAAAATTTAGAATTTTTGAGGTCAAAAATTTGACGGCTATTCAGATTATTATCGGAAAGATTACTCTATCGACAAAAAAAATTTCAGGACAAACTTTCGGATATTACCAGCAACGCAGCAAAATTAAGGACCTATTAGCAAAGGTTCAAAGCTTTCATTATGTAACTTTTCTTCTTATTTAGCGATATTTGCTATGTCAAAATTTAATATCAGATTATAATCACATTTTAGTGACATTTTGGTAGAAACTATTGCAAATAAATGGAAGAGAATAAAGTTCAAAAATTAGATAGAAATAGGTCTATTAATCATTTAACTCAACTAAATGAAGAAATTCCAAAGTCTAGCCATCTTAATGGCTCATCCGAGAAAACTTCTAAAGCAAATTCAGCAAATACAAATCATTCAACCGATAAATCTACTGAAATTAAATTTCAATCTATAACAGAGAAAACCTTAAAGCAATCATCAGAAACGATACTTGATTTTTCCCCAATTACTCAGCAACCCATGGTAAATTTTAATGTTTCCATTAAGGGTGTTTCTTGTTTGGACTATTCAGAATCAATCATATGGATGCCTAAATTTTCTGAAGTAGCTACATCTGCGTCTTGTACCCCTGGCTTAGAATGTCTATCACAGCTTGATCAAGTTCTAATTCATCCTATAATTGACAAACTTGAATGTAGGTATTACAATTTAAGCTGAAATAAATTCCTAACGAAACGCTAGATCCCCTGGATAGCATGCCATAATTATTTATGCCGGTCATTTCGTAGATTCAGTAGCTAAAGTTAATGCATTTCTTCAATAATTTTAAAGATTCTATAATTAGTCAAATATATGATCATCATTCAAAGGATTATCACTGGTATGTCAATATTCCGAAAGATATAAGTTATACTACCGTATTTCTGTCTCGATAACTGGTTGATATATTCAAAATTACATTATAATTATTTATCTGAATTATGGTAGAAAAATTTTTCGAGAGCTTGCAGTATTTAATGTAATTGTAGTGTAATTGAAGCTTGGCACTTTCCATGTCTTATTAAGAGAACAACATATCCGTATGACCTTCACAAAGAAAAGATTTATATCGTTTAATCTAATTCCCCATTTAGTTTTTAAGTAGATAAATTGTTTAATTCTATTATTATGTCTTAGTATTATCAGCTACTATTCAAAGTAAATACGACATCAAAAATAAAGACGGACAAATGATATTTAAAGGCATTGAGGGTAAGAAGTCTACATAATGTAAGGCGATTTTGGCTTTTCTATTAATTTTACAATGTCGGCTAAAACAAATAATTAGGTGGCCATGAAGTTAATTAAATTTAATGACTTTTTTAATAATTCAAGTTTTAGTTAAATTATACATCGAATAACTCTTATAATTACTTTCGTTTGTAGATATTTCAGCAAGTTTAATCAGATATTCTGGATATGATTGCATCGCCATCGATCTCTATGACTGCTATCAAACTAAAGTTCTTCGCATATCTCGTACTACATCCGATAATTTATGTTTTGCAACCAATTTCTACAATCTAAATATAATTAGCCCACCTGAGAATATAATTGGTGGCCTTTCACAGTAAGTTGAACGAATATCCGTAGCATTTGCAGATAAATAAATAAAATGCACTGAAATTCAATATATAATTAATTGGAAAATTAGTGGGTCTTATTCATATCTGTTAAATATTTGAAAGCATATTCAGCATGTTGCAGATCAGTTACTACAAATAATTTTTTTTAAGGTATTTTTGAGATTTACTGTAACATATGTATACAAGCAATAATTTCTATTCTTCTGATCTGCATTTTATTTAATGTGCCGAATAATGGTGTACATGAATAAAGAATATCGATATTAGGACCGAAACATATAGCTTTTATCCACAACGGCGTAAGAGTAAAGCTTATAGGTGTCGGTCGTTCGTGCTATGACGGAACTTTGTTTTCTGGAATTGCCTATAGTGTGTGTAGCAATATTTAACTTAAATTATGCTAAATTCTAACATCATTTCTATGCGTTATAAATAAATTTATTGATGTTGTAGTCAAATTAATACAGAATTGCTTAAAGAAGTAAGTAGGAAATTTTTGACTTAGTATGGTATTGTAAGACGATCAATCTAGATTCAAAAGCAATGTAACAGATGAACAATAAATTATTAAGAGAACCTTTTTAGATTTTAAACTACATGTAATATTTTAGAATATTGCGAGTAGACGTATCAGAAATAAATAACGACGGATAAAGAAGTAAAACAATAGTCTTTATTGCAGCTAGTGTTGGAAAAAAATCGCTTAATAATACGCAACAGATAAAAGATGTAATCTAGTCGAATAGCAATAGCAATAAGAAATAGATAAGGGTTGCAAGCTTGTAGCGTAAGTAGCACAATTAACGAGATAGATGCTTAAGAATTAATTTTATAATATAGGAAGAATAGTAAGAGAGTCAGATTTATAAATACGAAAGAGTGATAGGAATTACTTACTTCTATCTTAGTGTATTTCTAGGGTACAATCGAAGTAAAGTATAAATAGAATTTTGCAGAGTAAATGATTAACTATTGATCATACATGACGGAATTAATGCTACGTTGTAATGAAAATTAATTTATACTAAGAACAGACTTTATTGTATATATAAAAACGTACTCGATACGATAGCCTAATATTCTTTAATTTTTTAGATTATTCATAATGGAAATAACGTAGGTAATATTACAAAGCAAACGCCAGAAAATGGGAATCTAGTTGGCAATGTAGAAGTTAATTGTAAGTTTATTTGTGGGTAACGTTAATTTCCAAAATTAATTTCATCATTCGATCCCGACAAGTTAACTACTTTTATTTAATAACTTGTTATGAATTACAATGGCAACTATTGTTTTTCCATTACAGTTCCAATCCATTTTCATACAAGCATTAAAGCAGTAATCATTGGATTCGCTATCACATTGGTAGTAACATTATGCAGTAAACATTAGCGTATCTGCTTGAGTTATGGTATTATTTCTACATGATATTGCGTTATTGATATAATACAATTGCCTTTCAGATATACAACTTATTCTAGGTTATCAAATCTATATGAAAACTGAACATGTTCAGCTATATGTCCACAAGTTAACAAACATGTCAATCTTACATTAGCATGAATTTAGAACACTTAATAATACTATGGGTATCACCTCCTTCATGTTTGTTATATATATAAAGAATGTAAAGCATGTTATAAAACTGATGATGTTTTCTTAAAAGTGTCTTCAAATTAACAAACTTGTCTATCTGGTACAAGCCTAAATTTGGAATTCTCAGTAATGTCGTAGGCATCATTTCATTTTCCTGGTCTAGAGTCTACAATCAAACATATAATTGGAGAGGAAGATCCTAGTTATAATCAGTGAATTTCTTATTCCAATCTTTATGATAATGAATTAGAATGATATTAAATTTTACTGCCACTATATTTTACTAATATGTGAAAATACAATATCATAAAATAGTCAGAGTTCATTCGTTACAGAGTCTAATTTGAGGAGTATATGAGATTGTAACGCAACTGAATGTAATATGCAGAATTCGTAAGAAATTTTTAATAATCTCTAAACCTTTGCCAGTATTATTTTAAGGGTTTACTAGTAGTTTCTTACAAATAGGCTGCTATTAGTAAATACATTCTGCACTCCTTTTACTAAGAAAGATTTTAAGCTTTGTTATATTTAGTTGTTTATTACATAACACCGTTAATGTTAAGTAATGTAACTTTATTCGATGCGTAAACATATTAAAATTAAGCTTATTATTTAATCACAGCATCAGCTAGCAAATATAAAAAGCTTAATAAAACTATGTTTATCTATCAGTTCTATATTTCTTTTCAATATTGTTTAAATTTAAATGTATTCGTCAAGTATATAAATGAACGATATTAATAAATGACTCAATGCAATAATATAAAGCTTGCGATATGTATTCGACAGTTCGTATTTTGGGCCTTTTATAATTGGACTTTAGTCACTTAGGCTTCGACAAATTGAATGCATTGATGAAATGAAAGATTTATTACTTCAAAAATTACTTTTCATTCGTGTAACAAAAACATATGTGAGATGCGAATAGTGATAGTAATAAAAGTGTTTCATAACTATTCTATCTAATCTGAATCTAATTCTCACAGCATATTTGTCTCAAAGTAGATAGTATCTCATGAAGGCTTTATCGCAGAGTTTTAAGAATACAAGAGCGATAGTTTATAAGTAAAAACTATTTAATTTAGAGTATCCTCAGTCCGGAAGAGCGAAGTATATTCCAACCTTGTATTTGTAGTTCTTAATTGAGTAAACATAGTTTAATCGATTTACGGCAACAAATTTGTCTACAGTAAGACTTGAGTCATCAAATAGAACACTTCTCTTCAAATAGACAATCAAGAAATTTTATCGAACGAATCAATCTACTTAAAATATCCTTGCTCTTCTACTAATTTCCAATATCGTAAACGGTTAAGCATCTTTTCAATCACAATACACCCAAGTCACATAAATATTATACCATACTTAATTAACTACAGCCATTAAAAGATCGTCTTAAGAGATTATTTATAAGCTTCATTTTGTATAAATATTCGGTTCCTTCAAAAATAAGTTTAGATTAAGGTAAAATTGCTTAATGGGTTAGAATTACTAATTGAATATATTTTAAATATGCTACGTGCGCTCTCTCAACTTAATTAGTGCAATATTACCTAGCAACATAAACGTTGATCATATTCTTCCTCACTGACATTTAATACTTGATAAGTTAATTAGTAATCGTAACTACACTTCTTAATAAATCAATACTTATTCAACATCTGTATAAATACGATTTGATGGTTTATTTAGATTCCTAAAAACAAATAAATTATGTCATTTATTAGATCGATGATAGTAAAAAGTGATTTAGCGATGTCAGTAAGAAAAAAATTCGCCTTATGGATATTCAATGAACAAAAGGCTTTACGAACGAGGTAAAATCGTCACTAGGTGGTATGGTCGATGAGATTATGTAGTAAACAATTCATAAGCTGTTAGAGTTTTTAATTAACACTGCAATGTCAGATTAGATTGAGAAGATCCCTAATCTTTCGACCTACAGTATTTATAATTTGGTATTAATCATAAAACTTTAGTGTTATGTAATACAGTGTTCATGATTCGATGATTGCGACTGCAACTGTCTATTTCTTAGATTAGTAAATTGTTGTAATAGTTCCATTTGACAAATTTTCGGGTAGACAATGTGTCACAGAACAACTTTCGTGATCGTGCCTAAACTAGTCTATCTACTCTTATGGTTCCCCGACTAACTCCGGATATCATCAGTAAGGGAAAACTAACTTATTCCTATCCTATTGGAATCGAGTCAAACGATAGGTTTATGAGGATCCCCGGAGTTAGTCGGGGAAGCATAAGAGTAGATAGACTAGTTTAGGTACGATCACGAAAGTTGTTTTGTGACAATCAGCTAGATAAAAATTAGAGTCTACTTAAAGCGATTACATAACTTTCAGTATTGTTTGAATGAACCGTAGTAAATCTCGCAATCATTTAAAGTTGAAGGATACTAAGCATTACTAACTCCTAGATGATGGGCGACAGACAGCTTGATGCCATTTTCGGCGTGAGATATAACGCTTTGCACACTTTTGGCTAAAATGATTTTATATTTTCGGAATAAAGTAGTGTGAAATAATATACACAAAGCATCTGGAATGAAGTAATGCAACCTGATAAAATTGGATTACCAATGAAAGCATAGGTTGGATCTTTCCATTTCTTCGATATCAAAAATAAAGGCTAGAATCAATCTGTTTTCCAGCGCGTTAGAAAAATCAACGAAGCTAATAAATAATTATGTACGAAGTGATATCAGAAACAATATTTTAATTAATATTTTAAGCCATAATTATAATTCATAAAATGTTCGAAGAATATATTTTCTAGTTTAAATCTGTAGTAACTGTGTAATAGTCTTTTGCCATTACTATTAGCCACGTATAGTACTATTGTAATTAGCTGAGATCATTATGAAATCGAATTGGCGTTGCTAGTGATAGTGAATCAAATTTAGCCGAGATTTCTATTAGTCTAAATTATAAATTTCAACCTCATATAGATGAATGATCTTAAAAATACTATCTCATGGGGCATTTAGATTCCTAAAAAACAATTTAAGAATATGATCTTGTTACAGAAATACGTTCCCCTGTTAATAATCTAATATTGCTTACAGCTCAAACCTATACCAAGCTATATTAACTGCCTAGAGAAAATTCTTCATACTGACATGTACAAAATTTACTAGGAGCCCATTATTCCTATGCCCTATGAATATCTGGAGAAGGTATGAAAGACGAACGATTGATCCTTCGCTCAGTTCCTATTTTACTAGTATACTAGACTTTGGTCCGAGCTCAGCTAGAGCTGATCATTAGATTAGATTTTTTAAAAGTACCAGTAATTCAAAGGGATTAGGTAGTTAATACTGTGTGAGAAAGTCATTCCTCCCTCACTAAGATACTTCTAAGTTAGTTGAAGTCTACCAGAGAATATTGATTTTCAATCGATAAAGTGAAACTGTGCACTTCTGTATACGTTTAGTCAGACCTAAATTTCATAAAATATCCAGCAATTTTTACAAGATTTTTACGCTTAAAAATTTTAAATACAACATGTTGGCTGACTATTTTATAAGTTTACAATTCACGAACTCAAAATTAAGTTATTAAGAAAAAAAAGAGTAAATCTCTAATATAGCTAAAAAATAGTCAACGCTTCTTTGATCTTGTGACATTCTACAACAACTCAGTATAACCTGTTCAGGGCACAGTCAAACCCTTCTGTACGATGCTTTGCTTAGATCTACGAATTATATTGGTAAATTACTTAAAAACAGAACGTTATGTAACTTCAGCTATGGTTTTTATGTGTAGTACGAATATGTGCAAGTACATCGTTTCATCATCGCAATGATCATGTACGATTGATTCATTAAGATTAAAGTAACTGACTCTTTAATATCACAGTACAACAGAATTCCATATTAACCTGGCATATTCAACACATACTACCGTACGTTCAGCCGAAATCACCGCATAAATGCAGCTTTATTTGAAAATCGTAGTTACTAGGAAAAGTTTGGCTTAATGAACGTTATTATATTATGTCTAAATAATACTTTTACTTGTTGTTAGCGGTCTTAAATTTAACTTTATGCTGTTTTTGTATCCGTAATCAGATCTCAATCTCGGTAATATCAATAAAAGGTTATTATAAAATAGCTTTGCAACAAGATAACGTAATGCACGATCAATCAGTCGATTCTCTGAACCACGTATCAGGGAACAGTATCTACTCTTTTAAGAACACTTTTCCTATACTAGTAGACTACAAAAAGACTTAGACACCTCGTATCTTACGTTAAACACGAATCATAAGAACTAACTTTATTATACGACTTATCGTATTTATATACTCTTTTACAATAGCAAAGACATCCTAGTTAGTAATATTAGTGTTAAATGCTGATAATGAATCAAAAGCTAATTTTATCTTCTGCTACCTAATAAAGACAACAGTATTTACGAACATAGACATCGAATGACTAATACAAAATTATCAGATTACAATATGTCCTATCACGGAACATTTCTACGATAATCTACAATCTAGCATAAGTAAATTACAATCACAGTGATTTCAATTGTAAGAAGATTCTTCTCGATTCCCTAATTAAACTACTAAAACTACTA